TCTCTCTCTCTCTCTCTCTCTCTCTCTCTCTCTCTCTCTCTCTCTTTCTCTCTCTCTGCTTCTCTCTATCTCTCTGTCTGTCTACCTATCTATCTCTATCTATCCTGTCTCTCTCTATCTCTCTCTCTCCTTTTGAGATGTAAGCTTATATATCTCAACAAACATATCGAACTCAAGGAAAAAAAAAAAAACTCGCGACGAGAACCTGCGATTTGATCCCCGACAAGAAAACGACCCAGAACGATCTCGAGACAAAACGGAGAACGTAACCAAGACCTTGTTCCTTAAATTGGCTTAACTCGCACTGAGAAGCATTGGCATCTTGTGTTGATTCTCTCGTCTGTCTTATTCTCTATCTATCTATCTCCCTTTTCTCTCTGTCTGTCTGTTTCTCTGTCTCTTTTCTCTCTCACTTTCTCTCTCTGTCTCATGTCTTGTCTCTGTCTCTGTCTCTGTCTGTCTCTCTCTCTCTCTCTCTCCTCTCCTCTCTCTCCTCTCTCTCTCTCCTCTCTCTCTCTTCTCTTCTCTCTCTCTCTCTCTCTCTCTCTCTCTCTCTCTCTCTCTCTACCTATCTATCTCCCTCTCTCTGTCTCTTTAGCCTCATTCCCCCGTTTTATCACCCTTACTCCCTCTCCTTCCTTCCATTCTCTCCCCCCCCTCCCTCCTTCCTCCCACCTCCATCCCCCTCTCCTTCCTCCCCCCCTCCCCCCCTCCCCTTAACCTGAGGAGTCTCAGCTTCAGGAAATAAAGATGTTCTTAGGGTTCTCGGGAGACGCTGGAACAAGGTCTAACGATGGTCTAGAATCTCGTAGTTGACACGGACGGTGCCACTGAGTAGAGCTAAGCGGGGGCAGGGTGGAGATGGGTGGGGTGGGGGTGAGGGTGGGGGGAAGGGTGGGGGGAGGGGTTTACTGCTCGTTGGGGAGGAGGTTGTGGGTGAAAAAAATAAACATGACACTAATGTCGTGGTGTGATGATAAGGTGAATAAGAAGAAGTAAATCTGCGGTGAATATTGCGTGTTGTCCCTGTGTAATCACGCTAACCTCGTCTATGTCGTGCCTGTGTCACCTTGTCGTTGTGTCGTGTGTGTCTTGTGTGTTGCCCCTGTGTGTGTGAATGTTGTGTATGTGTGTCCCGCCGTGTCTTATGTGCGCCTGTAGGTGTGTGTGTGTTTTTTGTGTGTGTGTACTGTTTGTGTGTCGACCTCCTTCTTGGTGTGTGTGTCTGTGTGTGTGGATGGCTGTGTACTTTGCCAATCTGTCTGTGTCTGTGTGTTATGTGCTGTAGTGTTTTGTGTTGTATGTGTGTCTGTGATAGGATGAAAATGTAAATCTAACATAACATAAAGATTAGATATATAGTGTAGAATAGCACAAGTATATATGCGATAACAATGGTAACAACAGTTAATCTCTCTCTCTCT